GTTCGGCTAGAAAGGCTGTCTTTTTCACATATCTTTCAAAAATTTAGCATAAAAAGAAATCTATTTAATAGTATCCAGCATCAGTATATTGATCCTTACTTGTTTGAAAATTTCAAAAATTTCAGAGTTATGATTAACTTTCCTTTGTTTGGTCATGGCTTGAGGAAATGGAAGTGCTGGCGGTGAATCAGTCGTTTCTTTGCAATTTTCAGATTCAACCCCTTCCTTACCCTCAGAGATTGACTCATCATCTTTCTCACAAAGTTCAAGAAGAATGGGTTTTCAATAACCTTACCACTATGAAGAGTGATGACTGATTTGACTTGATCCATGTGTTGATTTTTAGAACTATTTGCATTTGCATTGTATTGCCCTTTGGGATTTTGTTATAGTTGAGATGGAAAATTATCTTTCTCTTGAAAACTGATAGCATATGTGAACTTTGCAAGAGTGTCTTTAAAATCTTTCATGCTTTGAGTAAGTTGACAGTTGATTACCTCTTGCTTTTCAATAATTGCATGCAATGTTTTCTCAATATTTCTTCTACAAGGTGGAGAATAAGGAGATGCATATCCATGAGAATTTTTAAAATTATGGTGTGTTTGAAATGATGGTTGTGAAATTTGTGCATTATTATTATCACTCTTCCAACTGGAATTTGGGTGATTTCTCCAACTAGGGTTGTATGTTTGCGAGTATGGGTTATGATTAGGTCTTTGAAAATTATTTAAAACATGAACTTATTCATGGAGACTTTATTTAAAAGAAGACAAAGTTGGATAGTCATTGGTTGAGTGTTCATTAGTTTTACGAATTTGACACACAATGTCTTAAACATATTTTAATTGACCACTCTTTCATAATTTTAGTGCCTCGCCTTTTCTAGTTAAAAAGGCAAATTTGACTTGAAGGTCATGATTTTCCCTAAGGTTGTATATACCTCCACTAGACATATGAGATTAAGTTTTACTCGGTGACTCATAAGTGCCTATAGTGTCCTAATTTTGAGCATTTTTAGCTAGTAAGTCTAGATACTCCATTGCTTCATCAGGACCTTTATCTTTAAAAGTTTCATTGTACATCAATTCCACCATTTGCCTATATTTAGGTGTTAACCCTTCATAAAAATATGAAACTAATCTCCATGTTTCAAAACCATAATAAAGGTAAGTATTAAGCAAGTCTTGATACCTATCCTAACATTGGTAAAATGTTTCTCCTAGTTTTTTAGTGAAAGTAATGATTTATCTTTTGAAAGAGTTTGTTTTGTGAGATAGGAAAAATTTCTTTACAAACTATTGTTGCATTTCATCCCAAGCACGAATGGATCCTGGTCTTAAATTTTGTA